CAAACATTTTAGTGCCCAAAAAAAAAAAACCCCTAGAACCCGAAGAAGCTCTCTAATTTGTTGCTAGTTGTGGGATTATTACTCGTTGGAAATCATTATTCAAGAAACATGATTAATTTTGAAGCGACGGAGTTGAGGTTAGGGCTGCCTGGTGGGAATCACGGAGGAGAAATGGCCGGAAAAAATAATGGGAAAAGAGGGTTTTCTGAGACCGTTGATCTCAAGCTGAATCTTTCATCGACGGTTATGAATTCGGTTTCTGAAATTGACGTAGAGAATATGAAGGAGAAGATCGTAAAACCACCAACCAAGTAAGAAACTTAATTCCAATTAATACTTCTTGTATAATTACTTTATATTGCTATGCTTTTACTTGATTAGTTATCCTGGATGAATTGAGATTAATTGTATTACTAGTGAATATATTCAGAAAATTAGATAATCCGAGCCGGTCAGTAATTTAGAGATGGATATGTTATCTAATTCTATTTCCTGTATTTAAATTTAGTCAGTGAATTAAAATAGGTTAGCTAGACTCTGAATGGTTATGAAAATAATTCAAGTAAGATCTGTGATTTTTCATTTGTTTTCTTTGTTTTTTACTCTTATGTTTTCAACAGTTTTACAGAGATTATTTATATTTGGTTGATAAATAAATAATTAAATATCCTTATGTAGTTAGGTTGAGTGTTCTGTTTGAACATTTTTTTGGTCGGGAAGAATTAAGAAAAATACAAAACATAAGGAATCTTACTTTATCTACGAAAAAAGATCAGATATAAAATTAATGTTTGGACAACTACAGCCACCTAACGTCCGACACGTGTGAAACAACTAGTTGAAATGAAAAATTAACATTAATTTAATCTAATTGAAATAACAAAATTAAATATCATTACTGAATTTCAGGGCACAAGTTGTGGGATGGCCACCGGTACGATCTTTCCGGAAGAACGTCATGTCCGGCCAAAAGCCGACCACCGGAGATGCCGTCGAAGGAACGGAGAAGACTTCCGGCAGCAGCGGAGCCACCTCCTCTGCCGGAGCCGCCGTGGCTTACGTGAAGGTTAGCATGGACGGCGCACCTTACCTAAGAAAAATTGACCTAAAACTCTACAAAGCTTACCAAGATCTCTCCAACGCCTTAAGCAAAATGTTCAGCTCTTTTACCATAGGTAAACAAC